TCGCCATAATAGAAGAATAATGTTTATCACCCACAGCAACCGCTCGAGATTATTTTGGTGTTTTGTTACTCTTGGCCATATATAGTCCGCCTATTTTTAGTCATGTTTGTGAGAGCTATTTTTGAATTGATCCCTGCCATCGCACGTTTTATATATCACTTACACCTCGATCTCCGTAACCTCGATCTCCATAGTTTTCCCCGGCGGGAGCGGATCTTTTCTTTCGTGATCCTCACCTCTAAGCGATTTATCTCCTTAGTTTTTTTTCTTTCTCGTTAAGCACTTTTGCTTCTGCACATGACGAAGCTTTACCGGAAATCCGGTGTACCTCTAATTGTAGGACCCGAGCCCCCTTCTGTGTCGATTGAGAGATCACAGTTGCAACTCCTCCATTCCCAGTCGGCTCCAGATACTACTTTACCATTTGAAGGTGCGCATGGGCTCCTGCTGCGCCGTGCACCGCGACAAATTGGTGCAAACGTACACTGCACGGCCGACTAGTACCGCTCCCTATTACTTTGTTCATCGTTTTGCCAAATTGTTGGCGACTCTCAAATGCTTCTAGCATTCGCACAATCCGATGGGCTTGCTTCCACAGTGTTGACGTTCCTTCAAATGCATATCTGCTAATGAAAAGGACAACTCCAGTATACCGCTCCTCTGCAGCTGGTGAGAGGCCGTGCTGACGTCGCATTCGACCCCGTAAGAAACATTTTTAATGCAAATTTCCCACCATGGAAGCAATTTCTGGAATGCAGTGAGATGATCTCCACGGGCAGACTCAAGCCAGCGTTTGCACTTGGAGTGTGTGCCCTCCACAGCCGACGTATCACGGTATCCAAAATGTAAGTATTGGGATGTCCAGTAATGCACTAACTTGGTTTTGTATTTCCACCAGTGTTTGTCCAGATAAGCTGCCATTTCCACGCTGAACGCACGAATAATAGCACAGCGCGATTCAAATTCCGCTTCCGAAGGAGCTTCGACGGCGTCATAATACAGCTCCAAGAACTGATCTGTTGCAACCGTGTTCTCGTACTTATCCTGGCCAGGTGCAGGGTTTTCAATCTCAACTTGTCCAAAACGTGTTCTTGTCTTGGCCAAAACGTTGCGATTCATGTGCCAACGGCAGACCAGAGATGGGAGGTCGGGGAACGAGCGATCCAACGCGTTCATACAGGCCTGGTCCCGATCTGTAAGTATGATCGTAGGCTTGATAGTCTGTCATCATAAATAGCAGTTGTTCGAGAGCCCACAAGAAGTCTTCTTCCTTTTCAACTGACAGCCAGCACTGTGCTATTGGTAACACAGAGTTCATGTTCGTCATTGCGATAATGTTCAATAGCGGCAAATCGTACGCGTTAGTCTTGTAGGTGCAGTCCATAATCAAAACGTCGGAATTCCACTTGTAAAATTGTTTGATATCTGGGTGAGACCAGAACAAATATTGCAACCGAGAGGTCTCGGGACTTACTTTATACTTAAAAAAAGAAATTGTTCGTGGACAGTTTTTTCAAAAGCAGCTCCGCTGGTGTGTTGTTTGCAAGAGCCTCACGTCGGCTCGCTCTCTTGTGATTCGCCACATCTTTCACCAGTATTGTTGTTTCAGGATGAGCGTGGCGAATCGTTGCCACCACAGCCGCAGGTGCAATTCCAACAGCGAGTTGAGAGGAAATCAAATCCTGTGTTGAAAGATCCGACGAAACAAGACGCTGCATGTTCCGACGTCGAAGTCCAGCGTGAATACTGGGGTCTTCGGAAGCTGGGCGAGTGTGTAACGCAGATCCTTTCAAGTGCACAATTTTTCATTTCCCTGAACAATCGTTCTTGTTGACAGCTTCAAGCCGAATTTTCATTGTACAACCAGTTTTACTTGTCCCTCGCTGTACTCGAATTCTCTCGTCTTCAGTAAGGTGACGGTTGTTCTGCGTATGTCCGTATTTGTCGCATTTGAAGTCGCACTGCCATATCCCCTTGGCGTTATCCTTCCTGTGGTGGCCTTTAGTGACGTCAATTCCCTTTCCCCGATTCCAAGCATGGTGAGCGGCTTCGGCTTCGTAATCAAAGACGTTTTCAGGTAGCGGGGAAATGCTGAAGGAAGTCGGAGTACTTGCAGATGTCGCCATAATAGAAGAATAATGTTTATCACCCACAGCAACCGCTCGAGATTATTTTGGTGTTTTGTTACTCTTGGCCATATATAGTCCGCCTATTTTTAGTCATGTTTGTGAGAGCTATTTTTGAATTGATCCCTGCCATCGCACGTTTTATATATTACTTACACCTCGATCTCCGTAACCTCGATCTCCATAGTTTTCCCCGGCGGGAGCGGATCTTTTCTTTCGTGATCCTCACCTCTAAGCGATTTATCTCCTTAGTTTTTTTTCTTTCTCGTTAAGCACTTTTGCTTCTGCACATGACGAAGCTTTACCGGAAATCCGGTGTACCTCTAATTGTAGGACCCGAGCCCCCTTCTGTGTCGATTGAGAGATCACAGTTGCAACTCCTCCATTCCCAGTCGGCTCCAGATACTACTTTACCATTTGAAGGTGCGCATGGGCTCCTGCTGCGCCGTGCACCGCGACAAATTGGTGCAAACGTACACTGCACGGCCGACTAGTACCGCTCCCTATTACTTTGTTCATCGTTTTGCCAAATTGTTGGCGACTCTCAAATGCTTCTAGCATTCGCACAATCCGATGGGCTTGCTTCCACAGTGTTGACGTTCCTTCAAATGCATATCTGCTAATGAAAAGGACAACTCCAGTATACCGCTCCTCTGCAGCTGGTGAGAGGCCGTGCTGACGTCGCATTCGACCCCGTAAGAAACATTTTTAATGCAAATTTCCCACCATGGAAGCAATTTCTGGAATGCAGTGAGATGATCTCCACGGGCAGACTCAAGCCAGCGTTTGCACTTGGAGTGTGTGCCCTCCACAGCCGACGTATCACGGTATCCAAAATGTAAGTATTGGGATGTCCAGTAATGCACTAACTTGGTTTTGTATTTCCACCAGTGTTTGTCCAGATAAGCTGCCATTTCCACGCTGAACGCACGAATAATAGCACAGCGCGATTCAAATTCCGCTTCCGAAGGAGCTTCGACGGCGTCATAATACAGCTCCAAGAACTGATCTGTTGCAACCGTGTTCTCGTACTTATCCTGGCCAGGTGCAGGGTTTTCAATCTCAACTTGTCCAAAACGTGTTCTTGTCTTGGCCAAAACGTTGCGATTCATGTGCCAACGGCAGACCAGAGATGGGAGGTCGGGGAACGAGCGATCCAACGCGTTCATACAGGCCTGGTCCCGATCTGTAAGTATGATCGTAGGCTTGATAGTCTGTCATCATAAATAGCAGTTGTTCGAGAGCCCACAAGAAGTCTTCTTCCTTTTCAACTGACAGCCAGCACTGTGCTATTGGTAACACAGAGTTCATGTTCGTCATTGCGATAATGTTCAATAGCGGCAAATCGTACGCGTTAGTCTTGTAGGTGCAGTCCATAATCAAAACGTCGGAATTCCACTTGTAAAATTGTTTGATATCTGGGTGAGACCAGAACAAATATTGCAACCGAGAGGTCTCGGGACTTACTTTATACTTAAAAAAAGAAATTGTTCGTGGACAGTTTTTTCAAAAGCAGCTCCGCTGGTGTGTTGTTTGCAAGAGCCTCACGTCGGCTCGCTCTCTTGTGATTCGCCACATCTTTCACCAGTATTGTTGTTTCAGGATGAGCGTGGCGAATTGTTGCCACCACAGCCGCAGGTGCAATTCCAACAGCGAGTTGAGAGGAAATCAAATCCTGTGTTGAAAGATCCGACGAAACAAGACGCTGCATGTTCCGACGTCGAAGTCCAGCGTGAATACTGGGGTCTTCGGAAGCTGGGCGAGTGTGTAACGCAGATCCTTTCAAGTGCACAATTTTTCATTTCCCTGAACAATCGTTCTTGTTGACAGCTTCAAGCCGAATTTTCATTGTACAACCAGTTTTACTTGTCCCTCGCTGTACTCGAATTCTCTCGTCTTCAGTAAGGTGACGGTTGTTCTGCGTATGTCCGTATTTGTCGCATTTGAAGTCGCACTGCCATATCCCCTTGGCGTTATCCTTCCTGTGGTGGCCTTTAGTGACGTCAATTCCCTTTCCCCGATTCCAAGCATGGTGAGCGGCTTCGGCTTCGTAATCAAAGACGTTTTCAGGTAGCGGGGAAATGCTGAAGGAAGTCGGAGTACTTGCAGATGTCGCCATAATAGAAGAATAATGTTTATCACCCACAGCAACCGCTCGAGATTATTTTGGTGTTTTGTTACTCTTGGCCATATATAGTCCGCCTATTTTTAGTCATGTTTGTGAGAGCTATTTTTGAATTGATCCCTGCCATCGCACGTTTTATATATTACTTACACCTCGATCTCCGTAACCTCGATCTCCATAGTTTTCCCCGGCGGGAGCGGATCTTTTCTTTCGTGATCCTCACCTCTAAGCGATTTATCTCCTTAGTTTTTTTTCTTTCTCGTTAAGCACTTTTGCTTCTGCACATGACGAAGCTTTACCGGAAATCCGGTGTACCTCTAATTGTAGGACCCGAGCCCCCTTCTGTGTCGATTGAGAGATCACAGTTGCAACTCCTCCATTCCCAGTCGGCTCCAGATACTACTTTACCATTTGAAGGTGCGCATGGGCTCCTGCTGCGCCGTGCACCGCGACAAATTGGTGCAAACGTACACTGCACGGCCGACTAGTACCGCTCCCTATTACTTTGTTCATCGTTTTGCCAAATTGTTGGCGACTCTCAAATGCTTCTAGCATTCGCACAATCCGATGGGCTTGCTTCCACAGTGTTGACGTTCCTTCAAATGCATATCTGCTAATGAAAAGGACAACTCCAGTATACCGCTCCTCTGCAGCTGGTGAGAGGCCGTGCTGACGTCGCATTCGACCCCGTAAGAAACATTTTTAATGCAAATTTCCCACCATGGAAGCAATTTCTGGAATGCAGTGAGATGATCTCCACGGGCAGACTCAAGCCAGCGTTTGCACTTGGAGTGTGTGCCCTCCACAGCCGACGTATCACGGTATCCAAAATGTAAGTATTGGGATGTCAAGTAATGCACTAACTTGGTTTTGTATTTCCACCAGTGTTTGTCCAGATAAGCTGCCATTTCCACGCTGAACGCACGAATAATAGCACAGCGCGATTCAAATTCCGCTTCCGAAGGAGCTTCGACGGCGTCATAATACAGCTCCAAGAACTGATCTGTTGCAACCGTGTTCTCGTACTTATCCTGGCCAGGTGCAGGGTTTTCAATCTCAACTTGTCCAAAACGTGTTCTTGTCTTGGCCAAAACGTTGCGATTCATGTGCCAACGGCAGACCAGAAATGGGAGGTCGGGGAACGAGCGATCCAACCTGTTCATACAGGCCTGGTTCCGATCTGTAAGTATGATCGTAGGCTTGATAGTCTGTCATCATAAATAGCAGTTGTTCGAGAGCCCACAAGAAGTCTTCTTCCTTTTCAACTGACAGCCAGCACTGTGCTATAGGTAACACAGAGTTCATGTTCGTCATTGTGATAATGTTCAATAGCGGCAAATCGTACGCGTTAGTCTTGTAGGTGCAGTCCATAATCAAAACGTCGGAATTCCACTTGTAAAATTGTTTGATATCTGGGTGAGACCAGAACAAATATTGCAACCGAGAGGTCTCGGGACTTACTTTATACTTAAAAAAAGAAATTGTTCGTGGACAGTTTTTTCAAAAGCAGCTCCGCTGGTGTGTTGTTTGCAAGAGCCTCACGTCGGCTCGCTCTCTTGTGATTCGCCACATCTTTCACCAGTATTGTTGTTTCAGGATGAGCGTGGCAAATCGTTGCCACCACAGCCGCAGGTGCAATTCCAACAGCGAGTTGAGAGGAAATCAAATCCTGTGTTGAAAGATCCGACGAAACAAGACGCTGCATGTTCCGACGTCGAAGTCCAGCGTGAATACTGGGGTCTTCGGAAGCTGGGCGAGTGTGTAACGCAGATCCTTTCAAGTGCACAATTTTTCATTTCCCTGAACAATCGTTCTTGTTGACAGCTTCAAGCCGAATTTTCATTGTACAACCAGTTTTACTTGTCCCTCGCTGTACTCGAATTCTCTCGTCTTCAGTAAGGTGACGGTTGTTCTGCGTATGTCCGTATTTGTCGCATTTGAAGTCGCACTGCCATATCCCCTTGGCGTTATCAGTACAGTGGTGGCCTTAAGTGTCCTACAATTAGATTTACACCGGATTTCAAGCATGGTGAAGCGGCTTCATGTTCAGAAGCAAAAGTGCTTTACGAGAAACGGGAAAAAACTGAAGGAAGATAAATCGCTTGCAGAGGTCGAGGATCACAGAAAGAATAATGATTCGCTCCCGCCGGGGAAAACTATCGAGAGTATTTAGGTGTATGGAGACTCGAGGCCATGTATAGTCCACATATATTAAAACGTGCGATGGCAGGGATCAATTCAAAAATAGCTCTCACAAACATGACTAAAAATAGGCGGACTGTATATGGCCAAGAGTAACAAAACACCAAAATAATCTCGAGCGGTTGCTGTGGGTGTTAAACATTATTCTTCTATTATGGCGACATCTGCAAGTACTCCAACTTCCTTCAGCATTTCCCCGCTACCTGAAAACGTCTATGATTCATACGACGAAGCCGAAGCCGCTCACCATGCTTGGAATCGGGGAAATGGAATTGACGTCACTAAAGGCCACCACAGGAAGGATAACGCCAAGGGGATATGGCAGTGCGACTTCAAATGCGACAAATACGGACATACGCAGAACAACCGTCACCTTACTGAAGACGAGAGAATTCGAGTACAGCGAGGGACAAGTAAAACTGGTTGTACAATGAAAATTCGGCTTGAAGCTGTCAACAAGAACGATTGTTCAGGGAAATGAAAAATTGTGCACTTGAAAGGATCCGCGTTACACACTCATCAGCTTCCGAAAACCCCAGTATTCACGCTGGACGTCGACGTCGGGACATGCAGCGTCTTGTTTCGTCGGATCTTTCAACACAGGATTTGATTTCCTCTCAACTCGCTGTTGGAATTGCACCTGCGGCTGTGGTGGCAACAATTCGCCACGCTCATCCTGAAACAACAATACTGGTGAAAGATGTGGCGAATCACAAGAGAGCGAGCCGACGTGAGGCTCTTGCAAACAACACACCAGCGGAGCTGCTTTTGAAAAAACTGTCCACGAACAATTTCTTTTTTTAAGTATAAAGTAAGTCCCGAGACCTCTCGGTTGCAATATTTGTTCTGGTCTCACCCAGATATCAAACAATTTTACAAGTGGAATTCCGACGTTTTGATTATGGACTGCACCTACAAGACTAACGCGTACGATTTGCCGCTATTGAACATTATCGCAATGACGAACATGAACTCTGTGTTACCTATAGCACAGTGCTGGCTGTCAGTTGAAAAGGAAGAAGACTTCTTGTGGGCTCTCGAACAACTGCTATTTATGATGACAGACTATCAAGCCTACGATCATACTTACAGATCGGGACCAGGCCTGTATGAACGCGTTGGATCGCTCGTTCCCCGACCTCCCATCTCTGGTCTGCCGTTGGCACATGAATCGCAACGTTTTGGCCAAGACAAGAACACGTTTTGGACAAGTTGAGATTGAAAACCCTGCACCTGGCCAGGATAAGTACGAGAACACGGTTGCAACAGATCAGTTCTTGGAGCTGTATTATGACGCCGTCGAAGCTCCTTCGGAAGCGGAATTTGAATCGCGCTGTGCTATTATTCGTGCGTTCAGCGTGGAAATGGCAGCTTATCTGGACAAACACTGGTGGAAATACAAAATTAAGTTAGTGCATTACTGGACATCCCAATACTTACATTTTGGATACCGTGATACGTCGGCTGTGGAGGGCACACACTCCAAGTGCAAACGCTGGCTTGAGTCTGCCCGTGGAGATCATCTCACTGCATTCCAGAAATTGCTTCCATGGTGGGAAATTTGCATTAAAAATGTTTCTTACGGGGTCGAATGCGACGTCAGCACCAGCTGCAGAGGAGCGGTATATTGGAGTTGTCCTTTTCATTAGCAGATATGCATTTGAAGAAACGTCAACACTGTGGAAGCAAGCCCATCGGATTGTGCGAAAGCAAGAGTCGATAGATGCTTGTACTGGCATCTTTAGACGGTCGAACGGAAGGTCATGTGTACACGATCTTATCAGAATCGTAAAGTCAGAACGTCAGCAAAAATTGAAACCGAGGATTTTCACGAGCACTGGTTAAATTAGAAGGTGCTGGACTGAGAGCTGTGCATCTAGAGTGATCGATCCGGCTCCTTTGAAGCCAAACAAGTCCACAAAGCGTAGAAAAACACACAAGAAGAACCACGGAGTGTCCGGTACGGCTCGGGATCCTACGTATGCCGATAAGGTCGACATGAGCTATCCAGCGCTCCGCCCGGATTCTGAAATGACTTTTACCGAACTGCTTCTGTCAAACACAGTACCGATTCATACTATCTCGGCATTCACCATGCAACTCCCGTCTCTGAACGAAGTATTAAACCAGAGAACCAACACCAGCACGCAAGAGCAACCCTCAGACAGCCAAGGACAAGCAACGAATACAACAAACCAGCCATTCTATTACGAGTTTCTACCTCCTCGTAGTTGGGGACACGCGGGTCGTAGACCATTTTAACCCAATACAAGATATGTTTTAGTACATAAACTGTTTTATAACAAGAAAACGTCAAGTATTTGTCATATTTCATTGTAATATTCGTATCTTCATATCGACAACCGCAATATTTCTAAGTGGCTGCAAATAAAGGATATACGCCTTCAGATCAATTTTGGTGAATTCAGAATCATATCCGTGTTTCAACACGCTTTTGGTGCTATTAAAAGTGGCTTTTGCAAATATAAGCTCAGTTTTTGTAAATTGTAAGAGACAATTTCGTGCTGAAATAATGCTACACGTTTAGAAGCAAAGCGGTCACAAATTAGATCAAAACAATAAAAAGGTTTTATCGGCACCAAAAAATGTTATTAGCGATTTAGTCGCTGGAGTCGAAACTTCGGCTGAGCTTTACTCGCTGGAAGACCTGGCACCTTGGCGTCTGGAATCTGGGAGAGGAGAGTGTCGAGGATTTTGCTGATCGGGTCGTGAGTAAGAGAGATGCCCCACTTGCGCCGGAGGTAGTACGCTCTGTTACGCGCCTTCCTGTGCTCTTTCCTCGCGGCAACCCTCTTCGTTTTGGCTGCTTTGCTGGCCAAACATGTTTTTGAGATGGCGGGTCTTCGAATACGGGGACGCAAAGACCTTCTTGCATGTTGAGCATCGCCGAGTGGTGATTGAGCCTCTGCCCGCGGGTGTTTTTGCCTTTGTGGTGGTTGCCGCCATTTTAAAAGTGATATTGTTCACAACAAATTGGTGGCCGGAAAACAGCACTACATGTATTATGATGTACCTATCGCACTTTTTATATATTACTTACACCTCGACTCGGTAACCTCGATCTCCATAGTTTCTCCCAACGAGAAAGAGCTAGCTCAGCCATTAGAATTAGAAAACGAACAATCATAATTTGTTACTGATCAGTTCATTAAAGGGGTCAAGAATTGGCGCATTACAGACCAAAGAAAGTATGTGAAAGCTCTACAGCTTGTCGAAGTAGAAACAGTGTTAAGAAATAGTTGGGCTGTAGTGTTAACGTTTTTTAGACGTCAACACCGCCAATTAAAGTAATAATATTTAGATAGATGGATATTAATGAACTTATTTATTTTATTATAGAGGCATTATTTTTTAACGTTATCTTTCGTTTCCACGAAGTTACAGTAAGTGTTTACTCTAACTCGGGTCTTGCTTTGAGAGCACTGTGCCTGTTGCACCAATATGTAGCAATGAATGCACAAATCTCATGTTATTAGCTCGGGGTATGTTAATACTTCGCAACCGTGACTAAGAGTGAGCTGGTGCGGGTGATTCGTTCTACAAAATCAACGAACACGCATGTAAAGACCTAGCGTTATCCTGGGATAGCAGTTCGAAGTACTGCAGCTGATTTGCAGCACTTTATTTCGCTTGTTGGTCGATTTTTGTCTTGAAATTTGTAAGAAAAGTCGTCCGTCACGCTAGACGTGAAACCAACGTAGGTCATAGCCCTTGTTTTTTTTTCAGGACTGCACCACCGTCGGTTTTGATCAATAAATTGGCGTTTAACAAGTGCTCCATTTAGCTGATAAAGAGTGGAGTTGTATTCCTTTTGACTTTCTTGCTACATAGCTGTACAGTTGGTTAGCTCTTGCAGAAAGTTAAACAGTACATATACAGTATTATGGGCATCGCGACAACCGCAGTACCAAGGTGCAAGATGCACAAGGGACATAGGCGACTATTGTAAATATTAATGCTGTGTTTAAGTCGCGAGTACTGCCGGGCAGATATCGGAGAAGACGCCGTGCGTCGAATCGTTGCACGTCTTGATGCAGACCCGTACTGGTCTCCAGTACCGGTCAAGGCAACTAAAGAATCATCCGACGAGTGCGTCGGAGCTGACGTCGCTCCCAGTCATGAGCTGGATTCGCCTTGCGAAGGACCTGTACGATGAACGCATCGAACAGATATGCATCCTTTTGGATACCGAAAGGATGAAAAGCGAAGCGGAGGAGCTGATACAACTCCAAACTGCGAATATCGCTGAGAGTTAGGACTCTCCGCGCGAAGATAAATGACTGCTGCTATACAGACCAGAGGCCGACGACGCGGATTGCATCCGTGCCGTGAATAGACATACTCTCTTCTCCCGATATACTTCTACTGGAGCCACCAGTACAAGTGGGTGCGCAAGTACGTACGTGCTTGCGAAGTGTGCCAACACGTGAAGATTGCTGCGTTTTCGCAGGCTCCATTACAATCACTACCGACAACGTCGGAGTGCTAGCAGTTCATTTTGACTTTGTTTTCGGTCTTCCGCCAGACAACAAGCGTAGATGCCGTACAAGTCACGACATGCCCAATACCAAGTCAAACGTTTCGTCCAGCTCTACAACGATAAGATCTTTCACAGACACCCTGTGTTTGTACGAGAAGCGCATGCGTACTACACGCCTCTCCGTTCTTACGGTGGCACCTGATGCCAACCGCTGGTTTTGTGGTCCTTGTTGACCGATTCAGAAAGATGACTCATCTTGCTGCAGTACCGGCTGAAGTCACAGCCGTGCAGACCACACGGCCGCTTGTTGACATGGTGTTCCGACACCACGGAATACCGCTCGACGTTGTGTCGGACCGTGATCTACGCTTCAACAGCGCATAAATCGCGTGCTCGGTGACGTACTTCAGAGCTATGCACACTCGTTTCGACAAGTGGAGCGACTACTTGCCGATGGCAGAGTTTGCCATCGAAACCTCGGTGCATACCTCAACAAGGCATACAACGTTTTGCGGGAATGCCATGCTGTATCCACGACTTCCGAGCTTGATCGGAGCTGTGAGCTCCCCTGTAACGGGGTTACATGATGTGGAACACACAGGGGTACGGGGTACCCGGAGAGTTAACAAACGCTCAGTACATAAGTTGGAGAGCTAACATACTCTCAGTACATAAGTTGGAGAGCTAACAAGGTCTCTCAAAACGTTGGCTGAAAGCCACATGTTGTGCATTTGATTAGGTTTAACTATGCTAGATAGTTAAAGATACATTTACCCCTAGGCGGCTTGGCCGCAATAATAGTAAATAAAACACTTCTGGTTTTTGAAGCATAAAGTTAAGGTATTAACTTTGAGCCCTGGTCTTGGGCTGTAAGTGTCCTTTGGATAAGGAACTTAATATTAGTGACTCTTTGAGTCGAACGTCTCACTCTGACGCTAAGCTACGGCAGCCCCGCTGCACTTGGTAGCACTTGTAGTCAATCCCGCTCCTGAGTCGGTTGACTATATCCTCTGCGAGGATGGAACACCCCGTGTTCGCAAATTTGCCCCCAGTGCAGCAGGACTCGCGTACTAAGCTTATGTCTTTGCTTGGCCCGGAGGAGGTGGCTCATCTTGCATCGCAAGGTTTGGAGGCGGTCACCACCAGGCTGGAATCGTTCTCCCGCTACGAGAACGCACTCTTGGAGCACGTCCAAGAGAAGATGAGCGCCGCAACGGCGGCGGCGTCGATGACGCGTGAAGAGTCTATGAGACTGAAACCGCTCATGGTGAGCGTAAAAACCTTTGAGGGGAAGGATGGAGAGAATCTCCTTCTCTGAACCCGTGAGGTCGAGATGGCCATGGGATCGGCCCTGCTCCAGTCTGAGCATCAGCGCGTGGCGCTGGCTATCTCCAGGCTTGGAGGTCGCGCTCGCGAATGGGCACTAACGTGCGGCACGTCTGTTGACGCTGCATTTCCCACTTGGGATCAGCTGAAGCAACAGCTTTCGCGCGTGTTCGCGCCGCCTAATCAGGCGTACCGTATCCGGTCGAAGTTCCTTGCTACCCGCTAGGGTAAGAAGGCGTTATTGGACTATGTCCAAGAGTTGAGAACGCTTATCGCCGGAATAACGGCGGGCCCTCTTCCGGAACTGGTCAACGTGACCGTGTTCATGGAGGGACTTCGTGTGAGCGCAGCTCGAACGGAAGTGTTCCGTGTACACCTTAACGCTTCCGAAGAGGCGGTGGATGTGGCATTGAATGCCGAGCACAACTTCAGGTCGGCTCGATCTGGTTGGAGCGCTAGTAGCGCAAGCCCTTCGAGCGGTCCAGAGCCGATGGACCTCAGCTTTGCTAAAGATGAAGAAGCGGAGCTTCTTGCTGCGGAGCAGCGGTGCAATAGCACTGAACACTTGAGGGCCTATTGCCCTCTGCGTAAGAGCGCGAGGCTCCGGCGAGCCAACCCTCCGGGTCATCGCCGCGAAACGGCAACTCCCAGTAGGCGCGGGGTGGCCTACTGGGGAAGAACTGAGTTTTGTTGTGCCTCGAAGAGGTAGAGGACAACGGGGCTCAGCCCCGAAGAGAGCTGAGCTCTCTTACGGAAAGTGTGTGTGCAAACTGGGCTTGCTGGTCGTTCAAGCGAACGGGAAGGGCTTTGCAAAGCCATGGAGAGTCTTGATTGACTCGGGAGCCTCGGGCAACTACGCCCGTCGCTCCACCCTGGAAGGGAGTCAGCTGTATGCTGAGGCACTGGAAGTGCCAACGAGAGATACGATCTCTGTCCGTCTCGCGACGGGGACACTGGTAACTGTGTCGAAGGTCTCCGTCGACCTTGGAGTGAGGTTTGAGAACTTCGATAGCGTGGAACGCTGTTTGGTCTTAGACCTGGATGCGAGGTATGACCTCATCCTTGGCATGGCTGGAACGCCATGCGCCATGGATCGACTGGAAGTCGAAAACGCTGGGTGCGTCGCATTCTGCTCCTAGTGGAGCTTTGGTGAGTCATGAACCCACCTCTGCTAGGAAGCAGAAGCGCTTTTGGCGCGAGCACGAGGCCGAGGCGGCCGTAGTGCTGGACATTGGTATGTCCGAAATGGTTAGCAACGAGGTTGCTGTTTGCCCTGAGGGCGTACGTGGTGCGGCTCGTTATGCGCTGAGCGGTGCAAGTCAGATCATTGACCAACTGCTGGGTCCTGGTGAGGACGAGCGCAGAGTGGCGCGTAATCCACTGAGTTGTACGAATCTGGTCGATGACCTACCGCTGCGTGACCCGAGGGTCGCGG